AAGCATTTTGCAAATAGGCCTGCAGCAGGCCCATTGGCTAAAGCTAGACAAAGTCTAACTCCCACACAGTCACACCACTGTGTATAATCCAAATTATTTAACCTACCAAAGTTCTTGCTCATTGTGCTATGTGGGAGTTTGTTCCATCACCTATCTTTTCATGCATCTTCTTTTGCGAGTAAGTAAGTTTTATTCGGGTTATACTCAAATAGTTACATAAATTTAATTATCATCATGCAGCAATTTTGTGTAGAGTAAGTAAGTTTATTAAGGTATACAAATACATTCATAGAATTATCTACTAGGCATATGTTAGTAGAAACTAGGATAACCAAAAAAGTCAGTGATTTTTCCCTTGGGGTCCTTTTACCTTATTTAATATAAAAAATTTTTAATATTTTTTTATTTATTCTACAATGAAAATAACATCTTATTTTCATACTAAAAAGACTAATATACTAACAACGGTCATTTAAGACTATCTACAATACGAGGGTCATTACTAGGAATAAGGTTAAAATTTTTTAAAGTATGTTAGCTAAAAAAATTAGAAAATATTCCCTCCCTTTGAGTACTTCATTTAGAAACTTTTGGCACTCTTTTGAACTGGTTATGCTATGTGGTTTGACATGTGGGGTAGTCTGTTCCATTCTTATTGCTGCTACAATAAAAGGTGTTTGAGCCTGGCCAATGACTTGGTACTACAAAGTTGTGCTCCTCCCCTTTGTACTATGATTTTCTTTGGTTCCAACCTTGACAAAATTGACAAACAAGATTATTCTGGACATGTGAGCAATTTTTATAAACATGATATAGCTTCATTGTTTTACTCTGTCTTCAAAAATTTTAGCATATCCATGCTGTAATTCATCTGGCCTACTGTTTCTTGGTCCCGCCCAGGATGAATTTAGGATTTTGTTCTGGGTGATTTGCAAATCTTTTTTCAGTTTTTTTTGTCAAGGCAGAGTACCATTTAAGAGCAGGTAATTCCATTTTGGCAATTGTATAAGGCTAGAATTGGTCTGTGAGCTCAGTAGGTAGACACTGTGCTTGTGTATACAGGAACTTCAGTTGGCATTCGCTTTCTTACTACACTGTTCCTAAACAAATTTTCCTGAGTGCATGGTCAAAGGGATTCCAGTATTTTACTGATGAAACCAAAGTGATGGGCTCCATTACATGAACTTAAAATTATTTACACTTTAGTTTGTTTTGTGCCCAAAAAGAATGGCTTTCAGTTTTCCAAGGTGTAATGATAGTTTGTTATCTACTAACCATTTGTGCAGGACTCCAGTTCCATTGTTAAAACATTAGCAATATCTTGTGGGTCTTTACTGACACTAAGAGCACTGTCATCTGCATACAGTAGGAGTTTGCACTTGAACTGATAGCATGTCATTGATAACATAAGAATAATAAGGGAAAACCCAGAATACTACCTTGGGGAACTCACATGTTTTTCGGCAGGGGTTCGATTCCGTTTTGTTATTTTGACTATTTGTCTCTGTTGCTAAGTAGGACTTAAACCAGTTACAGAAACTATACGATAGTTTTCTGGAGTTTTTTCTGGAGAGAGTTTCGGGGGTCAACGCCCCGCGGCCGGTCTGTGACCAGGCCTCTGGGGGATCAGCGCTGATTTAAAGATTGTTGCTGCTGGCTGCACGCAAACCAACGTCGAGCACAGCCGGCTGATAGGAAACGACTTTAGTTTTCTTTCCAAGTTTCCAGTTTTAAGACTGCCAAGGGGTTTTGGTAATCCCTTATGTGTTGTAGGAGTTGAACAGTCTGGGCCTGCACTTATTGTATGGTTCTTAAGTGCTATGAACCCCGCTTTTCATTGGGGGGATGGTGCATGTTGCCCAAATCTTTTGCTTTTCGTAGTGATGATTTTTTCGTGTGCAATTTGTATAGTCCCCTAGGGTTTTCCAGGTGTATTAATCATTTATCTCTCCTCTGCGTTCCAGGGAATACGGTTTAGAAACCTCAAGGCTCCCAGTAATTGAGGTTTTTATCTCGTTATGCGCGCGTGAAAAAATTCTCTGTACATTTTTAGGTTTGGCATTTTCACTGCCTTGAATGTGCTGTTAGAGTGCAGCAATATCAGCACCTTTAAAAGGCAGGTGAAATTGCCGACTAGAAAATGTACGAGAATTTCACGGCCCCATAACGAGATAAAAACTTCAAAACTGGGAGGCTTGAGGTTTCTAAAACTGTATTCCTGGAACGAGAGGGAAGATAATTTATTATATAACCCGGAAAATCTAGAGGACTAGTACCAAACTTGCACACGAAAATCACTCACTACGAAAGCAAAAGACTTGCAGACGATGCACCATCCCCATTTAAAAGCAGGGGTGTCAATAGCACGTTTTTTGAGACCATACAATAAGTGTCAGGGCCCGAGACTGTTCAACTGCCTCCAGACACATTTAAAGGGGATTACCCAAAAGACCCTGGGAGTCTTAAGCTCCTGGAAAGATGAAGTTTCTTAATTTAAATTTTTGTTGTTGAGTATCGAAGGCTTTTGCAGGTCTAAGGTTTACCATACTATGAGGTTCCTTTTGAATTTCATTCTCAAGTAATCCATCAGATTAAATTTGGAGGTGTCGGTTGAGTAGGTTCTTCTGAAGCTGATTGATAGTATGGAGAATGTTGTTTCATTAAGGTATTAAACTACTTGAGAGTACTCCGCCCTCTCTTGAATTTTAGTTATTATACTGAGTATACTAACAGGCTATGTTGTTACATTAGACTATATTTTTCTTGAAGATAGGAGTAACTCTGGCCTCTTTAACCCCTCGGTACGGTATTAGTGGTGATTGATTAGATTTTATTACGTGAGCAATAAGGGTTGACAGTTCAGAAGCACCATCTTTTACGAAATTGACGGGATGTTTCGGGCCGTGCTCTTAGTTGGGTTTAACTGCTTAGTTTTTTGAAATAAAGTCAATGAGATTTTTTAAATTTTTTATTTTTTTTTATTAACTATTTTTTTTAAAACTTATTTAGGTTTGTTAAATATTATGTGGTAGTTTACTTATATTTGATAACAGTATGTTTGAATTAAACAATTTACCTGAGTTTTGGTAAATCATTTACGATGGAGTCTATGTTAACCTATCTCTGGCTTATGGCATACTGGAAGACGGAGAATTGGGGTATGCCCCCCCGTTTGAAGGTCCTGGGGATCACGCCTGATCAACCAGGCTGGCTGCTTGCCAAACAAGTACGAGCACCCGGGGTATCGGACTGCTTTACCTTTTCAGTGCCGCTTGAAGACTACCAGGGGCGTTGAATCCCCCTTGTGTGCTGGGGTTTTAACTTCCAGGCCCTGCTTATGTGGTTCTTCTGCAGTAACCCCCGCTTTTCAGGGGATGTTTCACGTCTGCCACAGTCTTTGCTTTCGTAATGATGTTTTGTCGTCAAATTCGTACTGTCCCTAGGTTTCAGGTGATTAAATCATGATCTCCCCTTGGTTCAGGGGACAGGTTAGAAATCGGGCTCTAATTTGAGGTGTTTATCTCTTAGGCCCGTGAAAGCTCTGAATTTTTAGGTGGATTTCCCCAATGTTTTAGTTGTTGCCGAGCTTTTGGGGATGTATATCTCAATTTTAGATTAGTGCTTTGATTTCCAAGTCTCTGCATTCTGTTCCTCACCCTTTGGAATTCATTTAGTGCTGCAATATCCTGTCTGTTTGCTTTAAATCTTTTTAGCAGCTGGTCTCTGAATTTCATATTATCTAATATCTCAGTATTCATCCAGGGTTCAGTTCTTTGTTTAATCCTAACCTCTTTAACTGGAGCAATATTGTCAAGGATATTATCTAGGATAACCCAAAAAAAGTCAGACACAGTGACTTATTTCCATTGGGGTCTTTTTAATACCTTATACTATAAAGGAGTACTTGATACTGATTTAGAAAACTAACAAGTTAAAGAATGACACTTGTGCAACATTTGCGAATCTTTATTATGAAAACGTTACGCCAGTAATTGGAATCTTCAGTCCAGTACAGAGAAGATTGATGGAAGATGAGGAGTTTGAGGTAATCAGTCCCATGGCCTGGAGTTGATGTGTTCAGTCCATCAGTTTTGTGGGGTTCCCCAAGGTAGTATACTGGGTCCTTTATTGTTCATATGTTATGTGAATGACATGCCCATCAGTGTCAAGTGTAAGCTTCTATTGTATGCAGACGACAGTGCTCTGTTAGCGTCAAGTAAAGACCCACAAGATATAGCTAACGTACTATCACTCGAACTAGAGTCCTGTAGCAAATGGTTAGTAGACGATAAATTATTGTTACATCTCGGGAAAATGAAACTGGTAAATAATTTTAATGTCCAGTGTAATGGGAGGAACCTGTCACTTCAGTATCTTCAGTGAAATATATGGGAATCCCCTTTGATAGGGAAGTGTAGTAAAGAAAGTGAATACCAGAGTAAGGTTCCTCTACAGACAGGCACAGTGTCTACCTACTGAGGTTTGCAGGACCTTATGTCTAACTCTTATATAATGCTATATAGATTACTCTTTCTCTTCATGGTAGTCTGTCTTAACAAAACACTGAAAGATAGACTACAAATCACTGAGAACAAAACTGTGAGATTCATCCTGGACTTGGGTCCAAGAAAGCCTGTAGGCCATGATGAATTGTAGCAACTGGATATGCTGAATGCTGAAGACAGATAAAGTAACTGAAGTTAAATCACTTTTATAAAATTTGCTCACAAGCAGTGTTCAAAATATCTTGCTGCCAAGTTTGTCAAGGCTGGGAACCAAAGCAATTATGGTAATAGGAAAAGGTAAAACCCACAGTAGGTGGTCATGCTTCAAACATCTTTATTTGTACAGCAATAAGGAGTGGAACAGACTGCCTGCACTTGTCAAAGCTAGCTTGCTTTTACATATTCTTCAAAATAAATCTATGAACCTTTGTATTTTTGTGTTCAAGACTGACACGATTTGCTGTATGTTGCCATGTATTAATGTATTATTGTTTATTCCAGTTTCTGAAGGATGTCTGCCTGGGGGTATGATGGTGAGTCATTAAAGTACCGTATACATGTATATATACATCATCATTATGCTATGTTCTCATCTTGCTTTTCTAGGGAAATAAAAATTACAGTAAACCCTTGATTTAGCAGAATAATTGGGAAGGAGGGGTGTTGGGGTGCCAGTAATGTCATTTGTGGTGAAATGAACTTTGACCAGTTTCCGAATCAGTTGACCCCTATTTCCGAAGTTGGTTAAATCAAGTGTTTATTGTATTAGACAACTGAATGTTTTTTTTTTTTTAAGCATTCTTTATTTATACTAGAAAGCTTTAAAAATGGAGGTAAATAATTAACCCGTAAACGGTCCAAACTTATATACTATACGTTCTCTCCTGTAGTGCCCCAAATTTTTTGAGAATTTTTTTTTTTTTTTTAATAGGAAAAAAGAGCATTTGGTACCCAGGCAACCCCAATTCTTTTATTATGGTGTACAGTGAGTGCACACACCCATTCTCTCATGTCTAGGTGACTCAGGCTTATCGTGGCAATGTTGAATGTATGACAAATAAAACGTATATATACGTTTGGGGCACTAGCGGTAAAAATGCATACTATTTACGTTTGGACCGTTTATGGGTTAAGGGTAGTGGAAACATTGAAACAGGCTGTACTGTAGTTATTTAAATATTCAGAGTTAATATTAAAAGATTAAAGATATAAAAAGTGCTATACTGTGTATAGTTCAATGTCAGTGTCATATGAAGCAATAGAAATGTGCATTTTTTTAATGAATGTACAGTACAGTATATTCATATATGTATACAGTGAACCATCTGATTAATTGACTAGTGAGGGGAGAGGGGGTGTACAATATTGCCAATTGTCCAAAACCTCCAAGTTTAGAAATCAATTTTTCATGATCCAGTTGTCTTCTGAACCAACAGACTTGATCTGTTGGTTCAGAAGATAACTTTTGAAAATAATATAGATGGCTGAGATGATGTGCCACTGAGATGCTATACTCAACTTTATTAATCCAGATTAATGCTTGACACTGAGAAGTATATATTTCCTCTTGGCACTACCACTTGCTTTAGAAGCCATAGTTAATTGAACTTTATTTAATATGCTAATAAAGTTAAATAATACACAATCCATGGAAAATTGGAGACAGACGAGTGTATACTTTTAAGTACGAACAGTAAACTGACATGGGCAGCCATTGGCTCTGGGAAGTGTGAAAACTAACAGTTCCTGGACATGGCCACTCTTACCCATAGAGGACAAACATCAGAAGTCAATTTTTTGTACAAGCTGGCACTGGACAAGCACCTAAAGTCGGTTCCTGACCAGCCGGGCTGTGGCTCGTACGTTGGTTTGCGTGCAGCCAGCAGCAACAGCCTGGTTGATCAGGCTCTGATCCACCAGGAGGCCTGGTCACAGACCGGGCCGTGGGGGCGTTGACCCCCGGAACTCTCTCCAGGTAAACTCCAGGTAATGTATTTTCATTTGTGAACTACAATGCCTAGTCTGTTGAATACACACACTCCAAAGGTTTTAACTTAGTTTAATATACAGTAGAATCCCCATATCCATTGACTCGGTATCCACGATTTACTGTGGCCCAAAGATGCCTCTTGATTTTGCATAATACATGTAATGGCCTAAAAGTACAGAAGCTGGCAGTTCTTCCAAGTCTAAGAGAAGCTGTGAAGGGCTTCCCATCAGTGAAAAAGTGATAATTCTCCACTTATTGTGCATAATTTATCAATTAAACTTCATAATAGGTATATATAGGACTTATATGTGGGGTTTGCTACTATCCGCAGTTTCAGCATCCTTGGCAGGTCCTTGGGATATATACCATACTTAGTGGGAAAAAATAAATACTGTATTTATCCATCCACGTATCTGAAGGCTATGTTGAATTTGCCTGTTTGCATAAGAGTTTCTCAAGATTTCATTTGTGTGATTTTTCAATAACAATCCCTTGTTTTTAATTATGCCTAGATACCTGTATTTGTCTGATACTTTCAAATGTTACCACACATTTTATACTGGGTGAAGTTAATGTATCATTATAGTGTGAAATTGTGGCAAAAGCTAATAGTGATGCTCATTAACCCGTAAACAGTCCAAGCAGATCTACGTTCACGTGTAGTGCTACAAAAGTAGATCTAAGTTTTTTTTTTACATATTTTCAAACGCAGTGGACCCCCGCATAACGATCACCTCCGAATGCGACCAATTATGTAAGTGTATTTATGTAAGTGCGTTTGTACGTGTATGTTTGGGGGTCTGAAATGGACTAATCTACTTCACAATATTCCTTATGGGAACAAATTCGGTCAGTACTGGCACCTGAACATACTTCTGGAGTGAAAAAATATCATTAACCGGGGGTTCAATGTATAACAAAAAAAAAAAGTAGATCAAAGTTTTTTTACACATTTTCAAATGTAAAAAAACAAAAAGAAGATCTACTTTTTTTACATACTTTCAAATGTTGAAAAAACGTATATATTTTGGACACATTTTGAGTTTAAAACAGAAGAACCTGTGTTTGTAGAGGTACACATTTCATTCACATGCAAGTAAAGTAAGCTATATTTAGGTACAGGTACACATAAATACAGTTACACAAATTATCATAGTAACATGTGTAAATTACCTACAATAACCTAGTGAACTTTCTCAAAAGATTCATTAGAAAAATTGCAATGTGAATGAAACTGTGTATCTCCATAAATAGTTTTTTATCACTATCATTATAGCACTTTTTTTTCCATTTTCCTTACATACAATTAATCCATAGAATTATTTATTATTTTTTATCACCCTGGCTGATTCCCCACCTAAGGCAGGGTGGCCCGAAAAAGAAAAACTTTTCACCATCCATTCACACTCCATCACTGTCTTGGCCAGTAGGTGATTACACTACGGTTTTTAAACGGGCAACATTAACACCCCTCCTTCAGATGCAGGCACTGTACTTCCATCTCCAGGACTCAAGTCCGCTGCCGGTTTCCCCGATTCCCTGAATCCCTTCAATCAAATGTTACTTGTTGCCAAACTCCAACAGCACGTCAAGTATTAAAAACCATTCGTCTCCATTCACTCCTATCAAACACGCTCACTGCATGCCTGCTGGAAGTCCAAGCCCCTCGCACACAAAAACTCCTTTAACCCCCTCCCTTCCACCTTTCCTAGGCCCCGACCCCTACCCCGCCTCCTTCCACTACAGAAATTACTGTATCCTCTTGAAGTCATCTGTTTTCGCTCCATTCTCCTCTACATGTCAAACCACCTCAACAACCCCTTCCTCACCCTCTGGACAACAGTTATGGTAATCCCGCACCTCCTCCTAAATTCCAAACTATGAATCACTGCATTATATTCACAACACACATTGCCCTCAGAACAGACCTTCTCCACTGCCTCCGCCTTCTCCTCGCTGCAACATTCAATTCACCCCATCGCTTCCCACCCATAAAAGAGCGTTGGTAAACTATACTCTCATACATTCCCCTCTTTGCCTCCAAGGACAAAGTTTCATTTGTCTCCACACCCTAAGTGCAACCACTCACTCTTTTTTCCCTCATCAATTCTGTGATTCACCTCATCATCTTCCGATAGACCCCATCCGCTGACAACGTCCACATCCCAAATATCTGAATACGTTTCACCTCCTCCAAACTCTCTCCCTTCCAATCTGATATCCCAAATCTTTCATCTCCTAATCTTTTTGTTAACCTCATAACCTTACCTCTTTTCCTGGATTCACCTTTAATTTTCTTCTTTTGGCACACCCTACCAAATCATCCACCAATTCGCTGCAACTCCTCTTCAGAATCTCCCAAGAGCACAGTGCATCAGCAAAGAGCACTGTGACAACTCCCACTTTGTTGTGAGATTCTTTATCTTTTAACTTCCACCGCCTCTTGCCAAGACCTCGGAAACATTTTACTTCTCTTACAACCCCATCTATAAATATATTAAACAACCACGGTGACATCACACATCCTGTCTAAGGCCTACTTTTACTGGAAAAAATTTCCCTCTTTCCTACTACGCCTAACTGTATCCTCACTATCCTCGTAAAAACTCTTCACTGCTTTCAGTAACCTACCTCCTACACCATCACTTGCAACAACTGCCAAAAAAAAAAAGGGAAAAGAGAGAGTGAGTGTGAGAGAGAGAGAAAAAAAAAAAAAAAAAAAAGGAAATAAATTTGGGTGGAAAAAATTAGTTTTTATATTGTTTTTGGGGGGGGGGGTTTTTTTATTTTTTTTTTTTTTTTTTTTTATGGAAAAAAATGAAGAAAAAGGGATGAAAGGGGGGAATTTGAATGTTGCCACAAAGACCTCTTGGCCTTATCTATATATCTGTTCACTTAAGTTTCAATGTAAACAACTGTCCACACTACCCCTTTAACCTTATCCTAAAGGCTCCTTGTTCATCTGCTATCCTATTCCTCCGTCTTTACGCTTAATTCTATCAATTATAACTCCTACTCATACACTTTAACCAGGATACTCCAACAGACTTATTCCCCCTATAATTTTGCACTCTCTTTATCCCCTTTTGCTTTATACAAAGAACTATGCATTGCTCACTGCCAATCCCTAGGTACATTACCTCTTCCATACATTTATTAAATAATTGCACCACCACTCCAAAACTATATCCCCACCGCTTTTAACATTTTCGATCTTATCCCATCAATCCCGCTGCCTACCCCTTTCATTTTACCTACTGCCTCACGAACTTCCCCCCACACTCACACTGGCTCTTCTCACTCCTACAAGATGTTATTCCCCTTGAATTCCTCGCTTGCCCCATACACGTATCACACTTCCCCTATCTTCATCAAACATTTAACAATTCCTCAAAATATTCCCTCCATCTTCCCAATAACCTCTAACTCTCCATTTAATAACTCTCCTCTCCATATTTTTAACTGACAAATTCCCATTTGTTCTCTAGGCTTCTTAACTTGTTAATCTCACTCCAAAAACTTTTTGTTCTATTTTCAAACAAA